TTTCTTGTGACACATATATGATTAGCGAATGTCGTCTGCTCACTAATTAACTTTGTTTATTTCCTAATTAGGTTTAGGATCAGCTGTCTTGTGGTTATAGAAATAATTGTTTGATTAATGCGCGGGGATTTACGTTTTCATTGAGTGTCTGCAGAGCTTCTGTCTCAATTAGCTGTAGCGCCCTGCGCCGATCTGGGGCACGGGAATCATAATTTCCACCCACTGAGTGATAAATCCTATATTGATTGGTGATAATAGGGTGTGGATAGTAAATACACATTATCAGACTTTAAGTTATGTAACCATTTTTTTTATTGTCTTTGTGAACAGAACTTGGGTAGACCTAGACTCTAGGCTAGCCTGGGCTCCTTTTGATCGGCAACCACGTTAGGGCTTCAAGGAGAGATTCAGAAGTCAGGAGCAGTTAGAACATGACACCAGCTGTGAGTGAGTGCCTCCTTGGTTATAGAAGAAGGAGAAAGAGAGGGAGAGGGAGGGGGAGGGGAGGCAGAAGAAGAAAGTGATATTCCTGGACTGATAGATACCACTGAGCCTCGGCAATCAGGGCACAAAAGAGTGAGCAGCATCGGAAAGCCTTTCACTCTCTCTCAAGAAGATGTTGTCCCTTGTATGTTGTCAGGAAACACCTAACTGAAGAAGGTGAGAAGTACAGGACTCAGTGTCTTCTTACTCCACGTGTTCTGCAACAAGAACACCAGTGTACTGCAATGAAGAAACTACACAGTAAGAAAAACGAGAAGGCAGCTACAGAATATGCTAAACTTTGGGCCAGGAGATTAAGGAAGCCAAAGCAAAATGCTGGGGACAGATTACCAAGAGACATCGGCTATCCTTACTGAGAGCTCCTACTGCCAAATCTGAGTCCTAAACCAGGCAGTGGCAGGCGGATCCTTGAGTTCAAGCCCAGCCTGGTCTACAAAGTGAATTCCAGGACAACCATGGGAGTAACACATAATTGACCAGGCCCTGAAAGAAACTCAGTCTCTGGGACTAGGGAGATGGCTCAGTGAGTAAGCTGCTTGTGGTGGGTTGAATGAGAATGGACCCACAAGCTCCTGTGCCTGCACACTTGGTCCCCAGTTTATGGAATTGTTTGGAAAGGATTGGGAATTGTGGCCTTATTGGAGGAGGTGCATCCCTGGGGGCAGGCTCCTGCCACTGTGCCTTTGTTCTGCATGGTGAGCTCTACCCCTTTAAAACCTTAAACCCAAACAAATGCTTTCTTCTGTGAGTCACCTTGGCCATGGGGTCTTAGGACAGCAGCAGAAAAGTGACTGAGATTCAAGCACAAGAACCCAAGTTCCCATCCCGGAACTCACTTAGAGTCAGAGGTGGTGGTGTCCATATGCAATCCCAGCACTCTTATGACAGGATGGCAGGTAGAGACAGGGATGTCTGGAAGCTCCTGGGTGAGCTAGCCTGCAGTAACCTCCAGGGTGACCTAGCCTTCAGTAACCTCCAGGGTGAGCTAGGCCTGCAGTACAAAGTGGCGAAAAAGAGAGATGAGATCCTGCCTAAGGTGAAAAATGAGGATGGGCCCCCAAGGTGTCCTCTGACCGCCACACACCCATCATGGCGTGTGAATATTGCCAGCATTCACACATATGGGCAAGCCTGTATGTGAGTGTGTGTGTGCATGTGTGCATACATGCATGTGTGCATGCACACACACACAAAATCATGAATTCCTCATAACTGTTACTATTATACATCATAAAGAGAGCTTTTCCGTCAGCACCATAAGCAGGAAACCAGCATTCTTCTGATATACATTAAAATAAAATACAACACAAAGCTTCTGGGCACCATCTAAGGCCATCTCCCACACAGTACTAAATAGTTGCTCCTTCTGGAAACCCTATCCTGACTCTCCTTTGGAATCCAGCAACCTCAGGATTGGTTGCCTTTAGATCACGTGTTCCTCCTTGTCCAGTCATCTATGGCTGGGGTTATGGGAGAAGAGAAGGAATTTGTGTGACACAGCACAAAGCCACGTGGGTTGGGACTTTCCTCTCAGAGCGACTGGACCGAGCAGGCTGTGAAGAACGCCAGGCATTGACTGGGCCAGGGTTTAAGACACAGGCATTCGATGTGCGGTCAGCTCCACAGGAGAGTGTGTCTACCTTCTAAAATCTAACATAACTGGCTGAGGGCGTCCCCATCTGTGATCCCAGTGCTCTGAGACTGAAGCAGAGGACGGACACCAGGTCAGGCTGAACGGTGAGACCTGTCTCAAGGAAGCGATGCCCAGCAGAGCCAAGGACATCTTCATTTGAGGACCCCAGAAGATGCTTCTCTTGAGCCCAGGCCAGTCCCGCTCCCCGTGACCTCTGACATGGAACTGCAGTGAGAAGAGGCCAGCAACAGCCTGCCAGGAAGCCCTCTGTCCGGCCAAAGGACGGCGCCTGGGAAGGCAGATGCTGTGTAATCATAGCACCCTCTGCTCCCCTCTGATCTTTGGACCACCATGGCAGCAGGAGGGCAGCCCACCCAGAGCTGCTGAAACCATGCCCAGGGAAAGATGTCCCAGACTGCAGGACTTCAGGGTTTCCTGCATCTATGGCCAGCAGGGCTCCAAGGCAGGCTGCCCTGCGTTTATCACCCTTGAGGTAGTTGTGCTGAAAAGGCTACCTAACCACCCTCCCCCTTTCTGGCCTCCCTCCTCTACCCCTCCTCCTTCTCTCCCCCTCTCCTAGGGCCTGGAGTGTACTAAGCAAGCACTCAGTCTACACTGAGTTATAATCCTAGCCCACATATCCACTCCCTGCATCTCCGCTGGTACTGCCTGTATTTAAAGGGAAAACGTGGGCTGGGGTATATTAATAGCTCAGTGGCAGGGGATTTGCCCAGGCCTTGATCCCCACAAAGAAAGGGCATAAGGAGAGGGGCGGAGAAAGGAAAGAGAAAGGAGGGAGGGGCAAGCAGAGGAGAGAGAGAAGGGGGCTAAAGAGATGGCTCAGTGGTTAGGAGCACTTCCTGTGCCTTCAGAGAATCAGAGTTTGATTTCCGGCACTCAGGTTAGTCAGCTCACAAGCTCCCTTAACTCTGGCTAGTGTAGATCTAATGGTCCCTTCTTGTCTCCACAGACACCTGTGTGTGTGTATGTCCACACACATATAAACAAACAAACAAACAAACAAATAAGAAAAGGAGGGAAAGAGAAAAGAAACAGTGGGTGGTTCATGCCCAAGGGCACTGAGAAGTCCTGCTCCTGAGCCTTGTCCTCTGAAGGAAGGTCTACACTCTGCCAAAGGCTATTCTTACACTGCCATGTGCACCTGGTGGTAACACCTCTTTGCTAGGATTTGTGAATGGCCTTATTAGTAAAAACGTGACCAAAAGAAAGACTCAAGATATGACAAGGAGCCACCTGAGTCTTCCCTGATGGCATCAAAAACACCAGCTTTCCCTGAAGAAACAAAATTCCTTTTTAGTTCAGGCAGGAATTCTGTCATGAAGGCTCAGCCAAGAAGCATCTTGTGCCCATAATTTTCCAAGAGGAAGGCTCACCCGTTTTCCCCAGTATCTCTCTCCCTTCAGAGCCGCAGTGTGGAGCTCAAGGGGGCTTCAGAATGGCAGTCACTCCCTGGCTGTGCAGCCCAGACTGTAGAATGGAGACTCCATGCTCCTCACTCTTTCCAGCTGCAAATTGCTGTGTGAACTGTGTCTTATTTTTTCCCACACCTCCACACTGGTCCAGTCAGAAAAAAGTAGTTTTTATGTTGGGGCATCGAACACCGATAGTCCATGGGGTCACACCAGGGCTGTTGGTATGTTGACGCTGAGGATGAGTAGCCCACCATGACTGGAGTGCCATCAACAGCACATGGTATTTACTGCAAGATCACTGGTTCAGGTGAGGAAGGGTGTTGAGTCACAGCACGATGTCCGTGAACATGGATGTGAAAAGCATGGATACAGCATTCAGCTTCCCAAAAACACAGCCTTCTAGAAGACAGGGTACAAGATGGCAGCTTTTAGTGGGTTCCTGCATATAAGACTGGAGTGTTGGGAGATATGTGGTTCTTCCATCCACCTCCCCTGGTGCTCAACAGCCTTCTGGCTGACGTTGGGTAGAAGGGATTCTATAAGGACCAAGACCATCTCATCCCTTTGTGCAGGTGACACTGTTTGTCTTTCCTGGACACCAAGCCCTCGCTGGCCGGTTGTAGCTGGCTAAGGGCACAGAGCACCTCTTTCTGCCCTCCTTCCCATTGCAGCATTAGTAAATTCCTGCACCATGGAATTCTGAATGTGTCTTAAAGACAGGTAAGGTAGAACTCAGGTTGGGGAAGGAGCTGAGGCTGAGGACTAGAAATCGGTGCTGTACCCTGAGACGGACACTCAGGTGTCTAATGTGTAGCCGGAAGCTTGAACTGGGACTACTGGGAGTTGTGGATGCATCAGGGACAGGAAGCTGACCCCAGCCTAGGACTCCTGAACCTCCCAAATGACTCACACCAAGGGTCTTCCTATTGATACTTTCCTATCTGTTTCCTTCCTAAGAGTACTGTCTGGGCTGCAGAGATGACTCAGTGGTTCAGAGCCCTGGCTACTCTTCCAGAGAACTCAAGTTTAATTCCCAGCACCCACATGGCAGCTCACAACTGCCTGTAACTCCAGTCCCAGGGAGTAGAATGCCTTCTTCTAGTCCCTGGGGGTACTAGGCAGACATGTAAGCAGGCAGAACACCCAAACACATAAAACAGATAAATAAATAAGTTAAACCTAAGTTATCTTGCGCATCTAATAGCTGCGGTAGTCTTTCGGCATCAAAGCTGTATTAATAGTGGCAGGAGAAGGCACAGAGAAACTCAAAGCTCAACTTGGGGTTCAGGTGTGTTAGAACACGTTGCTGTATCCAAAAGCACTATTCATTCGTCAAAATTAAAACCAGGACCATACACACTGGAGAATTTTCTTCTTCTCTCTGTAGGACAAAGTGCACAGGTTCGATGTCTGATGGTAGAGATGAAAACTCTGCAGCTGGAGTCGCATCCCCCACCTGTCACACTGAAGGGCATCGTAGTCGATCCCAGCTGCAATGAGTCCTCAGGGGAAATGCTGGAAGGCAACAGAGAAAAGGGTGGGACAGGAGGTTCCTCTGATCTGGTGTCAGAGTGTGTTGGGTTTGCCCTGAGCTTCCTGCATCGGCTGGGGTGTGGTGGATAGCATCACAGACTCCAGGCATGCCTTCCAAGACCAGCTGGGCTGGACCACGGTGACTGTACCCTGAGAACAGGTTCCTGTGGAGTCCACAAGTCTGATTGTCTCGTGCTGAGCTGTGAGGTCTTCGGTGTGGTGGTAGGTGGTCCTGGCTGCCTTATTTTGCCACCTCTCTGCTTCCCAGTCATGGCTGCTGCTCAGACATAGTTATGGAAAGTATCTCGTGGGACAGATGTGGGAAGTACTATCTGTCTCCCACTGGCAGAACCCGTCCTCCTCCATCAGGCTTCTCCTGAAAGACAGAGATGGGGTGGGGGCTCACACCTTTCCCGGAGTCACAGGGCAGGACCGAGAGAGGGCGCCTACAAAGCCACAGACTCCCATCTTCCTTTGTTTCTCCTTTTACAGAATAAATGCTTTCAGGAGGGGAGGACTAGAAATGAACCAAGCATAGGCAGGCCTCTGCAAGCCTATTAGTAACCAGAACCCAAATAAATGCTGACCCAAGAAGGGGGATGCTGCCCGTTGGTTGGGATCTGCCAAAGTCTTCCTGAATCCTTCAGTAAAATGCAACCTCCTGACCAGGGCTCAGAAAGCCTATCCGGGTCCTTTCTGCCTCTTGCACCTCACTCTGACCTGTTGGCCCCATCGCCCATCCGTCTTAGGGTTTCTGTTGCTGTGAGGAGACACTATGACCACAGCAGCTCTTACAAAGGAAACGTTCCGTTGAGGGTGGTTCCATTACAGTTTCAGAGTTCAGTGCTTTATCATCATGACGGGGAGCATGGTGGCATGCAGGCAGATCTGGTGCTGGAGCTGAGAGTGCTACATCTTGTAGGCAACAGGAAGTCAACTGATGTCACACTGAGGGAAGCTTGAGGAAAAGAGACCTCAAAGCCCACCCCCACAGTGACACACTTCCTCCAACAGGACCACGCCTCCTAATGGTGCCACTCCCTTTGGGGGACCATTTTCTTCCAAACCAACACATAGCTCTACTCCAGCTTCAATGACCACAAAGCTCTTAGCTGCTCTGTGGTTCCTCCCTTGAGGCCTCTGCGCAGCGTCCTTGTCTGGGGTGCCCTTTCTTGATCTTCTTTTTGTTGGCTCCTGGTCTTTATTCAGGGTTGAACCCAGAGTCACCCCCACCCGCCACTGTCCCCAGTCTCCTGTCTCATGCCAGTTCTTAAAACCCTCTCCCTGATTGGTATTTACTAGCTCTGGTTGTTTGTTTTGCTTCTTTAGTGCCTGTCTCCCTTCAGAATAAGAGCTCAAGGAGCGCAGGGACTTTTGTTGATGGTGGTGATTTCTCCAGAACCAGCGGCAGGTCATTCTTCAATCTCCTATCTACACATCTGCACTGACACCCACCCATTCTTCAATCTCCTATCTACACATCTGCACTGACCCCCACACTCCGCAGTTCCTCGGACACAGTGTACGGTTGATAGATGTCCTCAAGCATGGTTCTTGAGTAAGCCTACTAAAGCACTGGGCGTCATTAAAGTGGTGACCAAGCTTTCAATGAGCATGTTCTACACAGGTAAGTGGCCCCAAGCTGGCATTCCTGCCTCCAGATTTCACATTTCTGTTCTCACTCAATGGAGTTTCCTTGAGCTGCTCCTTACACTTCAGATGGCTGGCTTTGTCACCCACTGGCTGTGTGGCCTGAGGTAGGTCACTGCAGCTGAGCCTCAGTTCCAACATCTATAAAGAGGGGCTGATAACAGCTCTCCCACTCACCCACCCACTGTAAGGATGGAATAGGCTGGAGAGAGCAGAGTGTGGTGCTTGGCACTTGTAAAGTATTGCCTACTGCCATCCATCCATCCACCCATCCTTCAGAATACGAGCACGAGGAGCACAGGGGCTTTATCGTCCATCCATCCACCCATCCATCTATGCATCCTTCCACCCATCCACCAATCAGTCCATCCATTTGCCCTTCTACACATCCATCCAACCATCCACCCACCCACCCATCCATCCATCCACCCATCCATCCATCCACCCGTCAGTCCATCCACCCACTCATCCATAGTCCATCCATCCATCCATCCATCCATCCATCCATCCATCCATCAATGCTCCCCTCCACCCATCTACCCATCATTCCATCCACCCATCAGTGCATCCACCTGTCCATCTATGCATCCATCAATCCATTCGTCCATACACTCATATATCAGTCTGTCTGTCCACCTGTCCATCTATGAATCCATCCATTCAACCATCCATCCATCCACCCATTCATCCATAGTCCATCTGTCCATCAATCCATCCATCCGTCATCCATTCCTCCTCCATCTGTCCATCCATCCTTGGGGCCTGACAGTGAGAGACAGTGCACTCATGTCTGGAGTGGAGAGGCCACAGCCAGCCTGTATTGGCAGTCCCTTTTCTAACTTAGATTTTTCCTCTTCCCCTTCAAAAGTTCCTAACCCTTGGGGGAAACTGGGGCATGAAGGAGTAACCAAAGTCCCTGGATTCTCTCTAGCCCCCACAGGGATCCACATGTGGCTCTGATCACCTCCCTGCTACCCGCAGCGTGAGGGCCTCACGAGTTAGGGACTCAGAGGCAGCCACTTGAGACAGCAGAATGCTGAGTGGCAGGAGAGCTGCTTCAGACACTGAAATTAACAGGCTGCTTGGGTTGAAGGTTTTAATTAAAAGATACTAGAGAATTAGTTTCTTAATCCCAACACTTCTTGGTAATCATTTTCCTCTGCGCTGGCTGAGAGTCTGTCTCCAGCTTCCTCAGGGATGGCTGGATAACCTGCAAACTAGAACCAGCCATGGGTGTCCTCTGGACTCTGCCAGGATCCCATAGCACTAGGGCTGTGCACCTTTGTGTCCTGGAATCTGTTAGATGTCAGTTGTTAGCTCTTCGATTAGCCTGGAGCTCCAGGGACTCCAGTCCACAACCCAACCGCCCACTGGGGAGCACCATTGGCAGCAGTGATTCTGAGCTTAACCCCTCCTCTTCCATCCTTTGGTACCATACACGGATGGGGGAGGCTAGACCTGCATCCTGAAGCAAGAATGCTGGGACAGCCTAGCTTCCTGGACTACACAGTGTGTCCTGAACAATCTGTCATCCATACCACTTCATGGCCTGGCAAACCCTAACCAGCAAGCTCAGCATTCTGTAATGCCTTGGATAGCCTAGAAAGTTAATACCCAGACCTCAGAAGCCCTGGGCAAGTCCTGACAGGAGCTGAAGTCCCAGGCTGTAAGGGTTACCTGGTGCTAACATCTTACATTGTCCCTGGACACCCCAACTAGATCAAGTTCTTGTGATGGTAACTCAGCAGATGGTAGCCTCAGGGACATTTTTCTTTTCTGCCTGAATTCCCTGCCCCTCCATCTCCTCATAAGTACAATTCTCTCTCAAGTCCTCTCAGGACCTGTGGCTGGAGACTGGATCGGGGCATCTCCTCTCTCCCTCCAAGCTCCTCAGTCCAACCTCTTCACTTCCTTCCTGTTTGTCCTAAGTCATAGGCCACCAGCAGCTACAATCTACCACAGAGCCAAATCTCAACACATCTCCCAGCCCCCTGCCTTCCCTTGAAATCCACTCCGATACAGGAAACTCCAGTCCTCTCCCAGTGGCCTCGGTGACTCCAGGACAGCTAATGTCTCTGTCTCCACTCAAGGTCCTCTGCTCTACCCCACGCCTTTCCCATGAATCCTCAGTTTCCCTAGGCCAGCCCTGATAACCACCCCACAGCTTACCTTGATGGTTAACTTTGCAGGGTTGAAAGACACCTGGAAAGTAAGTTGGTGAAAACACTGCTGGGTGCCTCTCTGAGAGCGTTTCTAGATGCCAGCCTGAACATGGGCCATCACCCACCAACAGGTCAGGGGACTAGATGGGGAAAAGAGAGAGGAGAAAGTGTGTGTTCACATGCCCTCTACCTTTCGTGAGCGGGGGCTTGTGCTGTGGTTACCTGTGGGAGTTTCCAGGTCTTCAGCCCCAGGCTGAGTCAATGGCCTGTCTTGTTCTAAGGATTCTGGGGTGTCTGGCCCTCCATCCAGCAGATGGTCATTGGAAGATTGACCAGTCTCCGGAGAGGATGGCTGCTCTAATATATTAACTGCCCCCTCACACACACACACACACACACACACACACACACACACACACTCACACGCAGCACACACACGCGCGCACACCCACACACAGTTAGGTTCTACCTTCCGGAGAACACCAGCAGATCTATTCACCTTTTCTGGCTTGCCCTCTGCCCACACAGGTTGACGTGATTGGCGTTAGTGGCTCTGGTTGCTGTAAAAGGAAATTGCAGCCTGAAGATGTAACCAACAAGAAAATCTTTTCTGAAACTCTGGAGTCTGGATCCCGTGGTGGGGGTAGCAGCACATTTGATTTCCTCTGAGGCTCTTAACTTGACTTACAGATAGTATCTGGGATGGTTGATGTCAGCTGTCAACTTGGCAGGATCTGGAATTCTCTAGAAAGGAAGACTCAAAGACAGATTGTCTGGATGGCACTGCCCTGTGGGCATGGCTCTGAAGAATCGTCTGACCTGGGTTAGCTGAATGGGCGGCACTGTTTCAGTACCTGGGCCGTCAACTGGGTGAGTGAAGGAGATAGTGCGTTCAACCCAGACGTGCTTTGCTCTGGGGCCTGACTGTGGGTGCCACTACCTCAGACTCCTGCATGATGGTCTGCGCAACCTGAGCTGTGAGCCCCAATAAACCCTTCCCCTACGTTGTTTCTATGAGGTGTGTTGTCAGGGCAACAGGAAAGAAACAAAAGCGGCATCCTCACGTGTCACTTCTGGGTCTGTGCGGTGTCCTTGGCTCTTCTTTTTGTGAGGACACAGGTGTATTGGGTTTGGGACGACCCATGTCACCAATCCACACCTCTATTCTACCAAACCACACTTACCTCTAATAACCCATTAGAATATTCTGGTTGCCTCTCCCTCCCCACCTAGACTCTGCCAGAGAGGAAAAAGAATGTTCATTCCTGCGCCCCCTCCTGGTGCCTAGAGCACTGCCTGGCGCCTGGCACCTGGTGTTCGCCCACTGAGTATTGGCAAAGTGCCTTCATCACCTTAGCCATTCTTCAAATCAACCAGGGACAGAGAAGAAGAGCTGAGACTGACCACAGGCTGAGGTGCAGAGAGAATGGTGGGACAGGATACACTACGTCCACTTGCTTCTCCTTCTGGACATCAGCCCATGCTTCCTCCATTTCAGCCAGCAATCCAGTTCTCATTCTAGGGCCTCACCCAGCTGCAGCAACGAGGACACACAACTGCAGGCCATTCTTCTCACCAGCAAAGGGGGTCTCCACCTGTCGAGTGTGGGTCACCTGCTCTAAAGGTCTGAGGGGTGATGGGAGCAGCCCTACTGAACCATGTCCACCTTTGACAAACCAAGCGAGATTTTCTTAGTGATTTGCTGTGGGAATCTCGGAGCCGAGGCGTTTTCCCCTCATTGATCCTCTTGCCAGCTGCCATCGCCCTAATTACAAGTCTCTGTCTCCCCGGCCTCTCTGTCCAACAGATAATGATGAGCTGTGAACAGCATGCAGGGGCTTCGGTGGGATGTCTGTGGAGAAGCGGGTGCTGACCAGCCAGGACTGGATGACCACAGACCTTAGTGTGCAGCTAGCGGAGGTCTATCACTGGTGTCCCTTACAAACACTTCCAATCACAGCCATCGGGGTCTGTGCTGCCTGGTATGGCAGCCAGCAGTCACTCCTGGCTACCCAGAGCCTTGGGTATGGTTAGTGTAACAAAAAAAACAACCTGGATTTTTTTTTATTATTTCCATTTTAATTAATGTACATTGAAGTAGCCGCAGACACCTCTCTTGGGTGGTGCAACTCAGGGTCAGTATTTCCCCCTCTTTAAGATGGAGGTAATGCAGCGAGACGGCACCAGCTGTGTGTGTGCCTCTCTATGTGTGTGCATGTGTGCTGTGGGTGCCTGTGCGCATGTGTACACATGTATGTGTCCATGCATGCATGCATTGTGTGCGTATGTGTGCATGTGTGTGTACAGGTGTGTGTGCATGCACACATGTGTATACATGATTTGTCATGCACATGTGTGCATGTGGAGACCATAGGTCAACATCTGCTGTCTCCTTCAATTACTCTGCTTTATCTTTGAGGCAAGGTCTCCCCCGCCAGAGCCTGGAGCACACTGATTCTTCTAGAAGGCGTTGGCCAGGGAGGTTTAGGGGTCCTCTTGTCTCTGCCTCCCTAGCAACAGGATGACAGGCACACGCTGCCACATCCTGCCTTTGTGTGGGTTTCGGAATCTGAAGTCAAGTTCCGCACTTACGGAGCCACCAGTTTCCCCACCAAACAGCTCCCCCCCACACACACACCCACTGCTGTAAAGAGCAGCTCCCTGCCAGATGCACGTTTCTTGTAGCAATCTAGGTCACGTCCCCTCCAAAGCACTCAGACAGAGAAGCTCTGCTGACGCCACCATTGTCACTGTGAAGTCCCTAACGAGTCAGTAGGAAGGAGGAACAGCAGGACTCCAAGGACGGGTTTTCTTCCCCTGAGGCAATTAAGGCAGAAATTGTAAGAGCGTTTCTATTTTCCACTTCTTTGAGAGAAACCGCTCACATTACCACACATAATGGCCAGGGAGGCCAAGAAACCGAAGCTGCTTGGCAGCTTGGGGTTTTGCTCTGGTGGTGGGTTAAGTAAGGAAAGACCATGTGCTGAACTGAGTGATGTCCTGTGTGGGACACAAGGATCACGCACCAGCTGCTGGTGCAGGAGAGGTGACCCAGCATCACCTGGGAGCAGTGGCATGGACGTCCATTACCTGAGTGCTTCTAGTCCGCCGCGTCTCAGTTGCTGGGTCCACAGGTGACCAGTGGATCTGGGATGTCCCTGGCTGGGTCCTCTTATTTCTGTCCCCCATAATCTCTTTCTTTCCAGTTGGTTGTGACAGGGTCCCAAGATTGTATGGCAACCTACACAAGGTGACTGGACCCAGGATGTACGGTGTGCTGACAAGGTCCTTTGTCAAAAGCTGGTAAGATAATAGAAACTTTAAAAGATACAGCCTAGGGGCAGAAGAGATGGCTCAGCAGTTAAGAGGGCACACTGCCCTTGCGGAGGATCCAGGTTAGGTTGTCGGCACCCACATCAGGCAGCTCCCACGTCTGTGACTCCAGTTCCAGGGCCTTCTCTGGCCCCAAGTGCACCTGTACGCTCAGGCACAGACACACGAGTGCAATCATTTTTAAAGAGCACCCAGGGCTCAGCGGGAGGGAGTTAGGACACTGGTTACATGCTCTTAAAGGGGATGTTGGGACCCGGTTCCTTCCTGTCTCTCTCCACACCACATGACCCACCCTCAAGGTACTACTTCATCCACTCCTTCGCCATGGCAACGTGTCGTCTGACCTGGGACTGAAACCTCCAAGCCAGGCTCCCAAACAAACCCTACTTCCTTATGCATTGATCCAGGTATTTTGGTACAGTAACAGGGAGCTGACTGGCACAGGAAGGAAAAAAAATTCCCAATAGCAACATGGTCCACTGGGGGCGGAATAACTCAGTCCTGTCTGTGAACAGTCTGGTATATTTTACTCAGTGAATAATGCTTCCTGTGTTTTTTTATCCATGAAGACAAATGCACTTTTATATTGTCTATTTGTTCATTGTTCACAGATTATTCTGTGTTTGGCATTATGGCAAAGGTAGTGGGTGGGTCTCAGTGTGTTGGGGGTTGAATTCTTACACACACACACACACACACACACACACTCACACACAGCATAATGTTTTATGTCATGATGAGGGGACACACGGAACTCAGCATGAGCGCTGGCTTTGTACTCCTCTGCTCCTGACGGATGCCTGGTGTTCTCTTGCCATTTCTTGCTTACTTGTTAGCCATGACCCTGGCCTGGGGAACTCACCAGTGAGGTTCTCTTGCTCACGGCCTTTCCTGTTAGAGATGTGGGAATGAACCTGGGCATATCCAGAGCGAGCTGACGGGAGCCTGAGGGGAGAGGGGGGCTGTACATGGAACTTCCACAGAGCAGCAGCGAATGCCTGCCTGACAGGGCCAACGCAGAGGAGGACGAGAACGGTTGTCCAAACCAGAGTGTCCCACAGGAAGTCAGATGTGGTGGCCGTGAGGTGCGTCCCCTGCCTACCAACATCCACCTCTGCCTTTCTTCTATGTTACGAAATTCCTTTTATATTTTAAAAATTATATTTATTTCACTATTTTTTGGTAGGAGGGTGGTACACAGGTGCTACTGTGCACATATGATGGTCAGAGGACAACTTACAGGACCCCAGGATGAAGCCCAGGTCACCAAGCTTGCCCCTGAGCCATCTCTTCGCTTGTGGAGTTCCAAGCGACTTCAAGGGACTTTATCCACCTCTAGGATCTCCGTCTCCATCTTTCGTTTCTCTTCCATGTCAGCCACCTGCCAAGGGGATAATCCTCTCAAACTCCATTTTCTTCACCTTCTTTTGGCCCATTTCAGTGTAAACTCAACAATGACTCTTAGAAAGAGACGACAGTGACCAACAGCCAGACCCCGAATCTCTAGGCAAATGCTTTCAATAAACATTAGCTCCATTTTCCAAGTGAGGAACCCAGAGAAGACATGTAGCAAGAAGTTGGGGTAGGAATCTGGAGGAGTTCTGAGTTTGTTCTGAGCCTGTGCTCCACTCAATCTGCTGCTCAGGCCTTAGCGGCACAGGCGAGACTCAAGCTGATGACAGTGCCATGGCCTAGAAACTCCAAACCAGGACCCACAAGAGCCTCTTGGTAAGTAACCTGTGCTGGGGGCTGCCACCATGCTGGAAGCTGCCTGACCCCCTCCATTCGAGAGTATGAGATTCCAGGACCCACCTAGCACCCAGAATCAACTGCCCCAGGGCCACGATGGCACAAATGTCCCAGAAGGTTGGGGTTTAGGTTCCTAAGCCAAACATGTCCCTTGCTAAGCACTGAGAACCCCAAGGTCTTGCCAGCCAGTCCCTCACAAGGAAGACCCCCAGTGACTCCTGTTCAGAGATGGGGAGGCTCCCAGGATACCTAGGGACAGCTGTGATCTGCTGCATGCCCCAGCCTGCCTGTGAGGGCGTCTTTGGTCTCCTTTGGACTGTCTCTTCATTCTCAGAGACTCAATTTCCCTTCTGCGAAATGAAAACAATAGCAACACCATCCTGCAGCCAACGCAGCTACTAGAACAGGGCATCGAGACAAAGGCACAGTTACTGTCAGCTGCTCCTCAGCTGGATCCCTGCATCATCAGGCAGGGTGTGGCAGCATGCAGATCCAGTGAGGGCAGCAGCCGCGACAGGATTTGAGGGTAAGAATGGAGCTGAAAGAGCCTGTCTGTTGGGGACCTCGCAGATGTCCCATTATTCTAAGAGGCTTTCCGTGGCGCTGCTGCTCACACACCTGCGCGTGTCTGTGCTTCACAGCAGCCATTCACGGTACCCGCGGTGCTCAGCAGTGGTTTCAGATGACTCCGGTCGCGTGTCAAAACAGTTTATAAACAGTCTCCGTGGAAAGCTGCAGGCATCTCCCATACCTCGTGTTTGTTAGTTCTCAATTACAGCAAAAAACCACATCAAACAATTGATCCACGCATACCTCCTAGGTTAATGTAAGAACAGGCCAGGGTGTTCCAAACAAAACAACCTGGGCACATGTGTCACAAGATGCCTACCGTCCGTGACACGTGATGGCAGTTAGTGGCATTGTCATTAATACTCCTGTCCTGTGTGCTGAGTACACAGCTGGAGCACAATAAACACTGGTTGGTTGACAAGCGACCCTTCCAGGTCAGGCAACCCATCACACTTTAGTCATAGATTCCCCGCTATACAGGAGGACCTGGCCGGCTTCCATACCTACATCAACAGATTCAACCTCCACTCTGGCCAGAACAAGACTCCAGGGAACCAGTGCTGAAAAGTGAGTGTCTGAGAGCCAATGAAATCATCGGGTGGGCGGCTCCAAGCGGCTCTGAGCAAGAGAAGCTAACCACTGTTGTAGGTCTCTCCTCGAAACCCTGGACCAGCAGAGGAATTGAGCAATCGATAGGCTGTCTAAGTCAGAAGCAGGGTAGGGAGGGGAGGTGTCCACCAGCAGAAACAAATTCACTACGTCTGCATTATTGAGTCAACTACTACAGTTGTTTCTTTTAGTTTTAAATATATAGCTATAATTAAATCTAAAGTAATACATTGTGATTTTCTTTATATTTCTACTGAATAATGCTGGTCCCTTCCTGTCCTTTCAGATAGTTTTTGGATCCGTATTGCGTGGTCATATGTGTGTGCACCTATGTGCATATGAGTGTGTAGGTCAGAGGTCAATGTCAGTTGTCTTCTGCTATCCCTGACGACCTTAATTTTTGAGACAAGGTCTCTCACTGAATCAAGAGCTCACTGATTGAACCAGGATGGCTGCTGGTTGTACCCAAGATCCACCTATGTCTTCGTTACTTTTAAATTGCTGTACTAAGGCACCATGAACAATACAACACGCAGAAGAGTTTACTGGAGCTTACTGCTTCAGAGAGTGAGTCCATGGGCATTATGGCAAGGGACGTGGTGGCAGGCATGGGCTGGAGCTGGAGCTGAGGGCCTATGTCCAATCCACAAGTAGAAGGCAGACAGAGGTAACTGAGAATGTCATAGTCTCTTGAAACCTCAAAGGCCACCCCCAGTGACAAACCCTCCTCCAAGGACACACCTCCTAATCCTTCCCAGATGGTTCCACTAACTGAGGACCTAGCAGTCAAACACATGGGCCTATGGAGGCTATTTGTAGCCATATCATAATGCAAAAATGCATTCAGTCCAGCTTCATATATATAAGTCCCCATAGTCTCTCACAGACTCAACACTGTTTAACATTCCAAAGTCCAAAGTCTCTTCTGAGACTCGAGGCAATGTCTTAATTGTAATTCCCTGTAAACTCAAAATGAAAATTATATGCTTGCAACACACAATGGCACAGAATGTACATTACCATTCCAAAGGGAGGGAAGAAGGCACAGTGAGGAGACACAGGACTGAAGCAAGACCAGAGCACAAACTGCAAACGCTGTGCCTCCATGCTGATGTCAGAGAGTCCTTCAGCTCTCCTACCCCTCCAGCGTCCTCACTACAACACATTTCTCCCTCTTGGTTGGTTCCGAGCCTGGGCTGCTGCTTTCCTTGGCAGGTATCCTGTGGTTCGGCCAGCTCCAACAGCTTGTGGTCTCCAAGGCAATTCAGGCTCCATCTTCACGGCTTCTTGCAATGGTCTCTCTGGCCACCACGCCTAGCTAAACTTGGGTTGTGGGGGGCAGAACTCAGGTACTCATGCACATTACCCGCCAAGTCGTTCCCCAAGCCTCTCACGTGGTGTTGGGGTTGTTCATTTTTGTGTCAAGTGCTAGAGACCACAGCCAGGGGCTTGCACACACTAGGTGAGCACTCTGCCTTTCTTGTGTGTTTTGTTTTGTGGGTGTGAGGAACTCTGCTGTGCGATGTTGCACACTCAGTCTTTCCTCCACAGTCTCAGCTTCTTCCGTGGCAGGGTCAGACAGAATAACCGTAATGAGCATGGTGGGGACCTCGATGGCACCTTCCTGTATATGCACGTGTCCATGTCTCCTTAGAACTGGGAAGTAAATAGTAGCTGTCACGGTTAGCGTCTGTTGTCACTGTGACACACAAGGTAAAGGGAAACCTCAGTTGAGAGATTGCCTCCATCAGATAGGTCAGCTGCCGTGTCTGCGAGGCATTTTCTCCATTGATAACTGATGATGGAGGACCCAGCCCACTGTGGGCAGTTCCATTCCTAGGCTGGGGGTTCTGGTGTATATAAAAGGGCAGGCTGAATCTGGGAGCAAGCCTGTGGTCTCTGCTTCAGGTCCTGCTTCCAGGGTCTTGCTTGGCCTCACTTGATGATAGACGTCACTCAAACAAACCCCCTCCTCCCCACAAAGAAAGCAATAATCCCATTCTCAACCCAGGACACCCAGAACACAAACGCTAAGCCCTCAGCCCACTGTGAGTCTTGTCACAAAGCCCACACACATCTTACTTCTCTGTGCCCCTCCTTCTGCACTGGCCTCAGAGGTGTCAGGACTCTGGGACTTTGCACACTGGAATGAAAACCAGGATTCAGTCAGGGTTATGTTGCTCAAGGCTATGGCCAAATAGACAACCTAGGGGAAAGGGCTTGGTTTGGCTCATGGTTTCAGAGGGGAACCAGCCCAACAGGAACGAGAGCACGGGATTGTGAGGCTTCTGGAACATTGAAGCACAGGCAGGAAGCAAAGAGACACGAATGCTGGTGCCCAGCTCTCTTTCTCCATTCATTTTGTCTAGACCCCAGGTGATGGTTGCCACCACCTCAGGTCCTCCCTCCTTACTTAAAGCTCTCAGGAAACATCCCCATAGACACACCCATCTCCTCAGTGATTCCAAAATCAATTTTTAAAAATACTGCATTCATTCATTCATTCATTCATTCAATCAATCACTCATTTATTCGTGTATCTGGACAGGTGTGAAGCCACTTGGGGGAGTCAGCTCTCTCCTTCTACCATGTGGATCTTGGGGAATGAACTCAGGTCATCGGGCTTGGTAGGCAGTACCTTTCCCTGCTGAGCCCTCTTACTGGCCTTCTGAATCCAGCCTTGATAATGAAGATTGTTACCATAACCAGCGAGGTTCATGTGCCAGAGGACAGTGTCTTCCTGGGCTGGACAATGGCCTACAGATTACACAGCTTCTCTGAAGTAGCCACTGAGAAGCTATCATGTGTCCTATGTCCACAGCTCAAGGGAGGGCACCCTGGACCCTGGAGCTGGGCAGGCAGCCCCTACCTCCTGCTCACCCCTGCTGACTTCTGTATGGCTGTGTGATGTTGGCACGTGGCATGTGAATCTGTGAAAGTTCCAATACACAGGCTTGGAGTTGTGTTTTCTTGTTGGGAAAATGCCTGCAAAGTCCCTGGAGTGAGGGGTGTGGAGCCATCTTGGAGTCTGTGTGGAAAGGAGATGGGGGTTGGGCACTCCAGGTGTGGCTATAACAGGATCTGTCCTGGTGTGCTTTTACCTACACATAAACCAGCATACTCTCCCGCCCCTCCTTCTTGCCCCTCCCGGCCCTGTCCCTCTCCCTCTTTCTGTTCTCCCATTCCTTCTCTCTCTTTTCCCCTCTCCCTTCCCTCCCTCTCAGCCTCCTCCCTCCCAGTCTCCCCTCCTCCCCTTCCCAAGTCACCCTTCCCTGGCTTTTCCATTAGAAGGGCTCTGTGGGTTTCCTTCTTCTTCTTCTTCTTCTTCTTCTTCTTCTTCTTCTTCTTCTTCTTCTTCTTCTTCTTCTTCTTCTTCTTCTTCTTCTTCTTCTTCTTCTTCTTCTTCTTCTTCTTCTTCTTCTTCTTCTTCTTCTTCTTCTTCTTCTTCTTCTT